ACTGGGTACTTTGTGATCCAGGGCGTTGGGGTGATACTCGAGAGCGCGCTCGGGTTGGATAAAGGCTCTGTAGATGATGGAAAGGGGAGTCACGGTTTTCAAACGTCTGCGCTCTATCGGTGTTTGAAAAAGGTGTGGGTACCACTGTGGATTGTGCTTCCGGCGACGATGATGATCGAGGCTTGGATCAAGCGGGGCTTTGCGTTTGTTGCTAATGATTATAGTCCGTCTATGGCTTTGTTCGGTGTGTGGAATGAGTTTGCGTTTGGCAAGTGAATATTTGGTTTTTGTAGAGCTGTGTGCTGTTGTTATTAGTATTGTCGTGCTTTTTGGATCCCTCAATGAACTAGATGTAAGAGCTTATAACATCCTTGAAGAAGAACGTGTTCGAAGAGAGGACTCCAATCAGTGGAAACAGGCTAGCCACGAGTAGCCACCCCAAAATAGATGGCGCCAATTAGGAACACGTCACACTCGTGACTCGCCGTGAGCATCTTATCCTGTTCTACCACGACAGGTTGAGATAAACTACTAATTCAACTATATCCGTGCCACGTTTGGTGGAATTCAGGTCTAATCAGCCCTATTGAACACTACACCTTTATCCGGATCCACCCTAATTATTTGCGTGTCTAGCCACGTATTTGTTCACTCCATAACGGCCTCGTTTCCCCGACACATTCGCACACTAACGACCGCGATACGCTTGTACTCTCAACTTGCCTAAAAATCACTTTGCCATTCGTCTTTCTCATACTTTAGCTCCTAGAGTTTCTAAGGCAACAAACCCCTATAACTCGTTTCTAGAATGGGTCCGGACGTTGGTTGGTTCAACTGCTGCTAGATATTGTTTCTAATATTTACTTTTCAGGTGAATGCCCGGCAAGAGTTGACCGCAAAACCAGTCCTGATTTGTCTTCTTAGCTTTCTCTTGACTACTTACCTCACTCTGAACCCACGTCTGTTCCATCTCCGGCTCTGGCTAGTTCCAATTGCCCTTGGATCTGTCTGGTCTCTCTGCACGAAATTCGCTATTTCTGATCCTAGCTTTACTGCGGTCAACTTTGGAACTTGCTCTGTAGGTTTCTGTGCCGCGATAAAGCTCCTGGAGCTGGCAACATTGGATACACCACCCAAGTATGATGGCCAAACAGTCTGCGAGAAGCAGTCTATCCTTTGCTGGGATTGTGCGGTGAATACCGTTAGCTACCTTTTCGACTTTAGGTGTCGGGTACGCTATAAGGCTCTAAATTTATAGTTTACTAACTTAACCTGCCTCTTTCCTCTGATCCAGCACTGGAACAAGGACAGCACACGTCATACCCCGGAAGACGCACGGCGCGACGGCTCGCACGCTGAATTCTATATCGATACTCTTATGCTTGCTCTCAAGCATGGCTTGTATATCGACGCTCTGCTTCCATTCATCACGAATATAAACCAATCTGGGTCATCTCAAGGCGGGACCATATTCCGAGACACGTTTGCTCTAACCAGCAATCACACTATTCAACTTCCCCACCCACTACTCGGTGCACTCCCGTTGACCATTGCCGTCGGACTATTGGTTCAGAACGGGCTGGAGTTTGAAAACTATGTCGTCACCCTCCTGGCTGTACCTCTGATGTGGCTTCCTCCGTCAATTTCTCCTTACTCACGACCTGCTTCCTCGCTAAAATACGAATGCCCCCCCTTATTTGACCATCCTTACCGAGCGAACTCTTTGGGAGAGTTTTGGTCGAAGAGATGGCAAAGCATGCCAAGACGTATGTTTTTGGTTGGCGGGGCCAGGCCTGGGAGGATAGCAGGGGGGTTCCTTGGTTCACTGGCCGGCAAGACCGTTGGGCTTTTCTCATCTTCGAAGACCGGTCACAATGAGTGGAGCAATCGAGCTCGTTCGCTAGGCTCGCGTGTTGGTTTCGTGATGGGTGCCTTTCTTGTGTCTGGCCTGATGCATGATTTTGGAATGTGGGGCATGGGGCAAGGCGTGGACTTTCAACGAGTAACTGGCTACTTTCTCATTCAAGGGGTTGGAGTAATACTCGAGAGCCTACTCGGATTGGATCAAACAGCCAGACGCAAGAGTGTCGTAAACAGTCCGACGGCGGATAAGAATTCTCGCACAGTACACAAGTCTAAATCTTCAATGCCTTATCGCCTTTTGATGAAGCTCTGGGTATTTGGGTGGGTGGTTGTTCCGGCGACCATGATGATGGAGGCCTGGCTTCAACGGGGATTCGACCTCATTACTCTGGTTCCTTATGCCTACAGCCCATCTAGAACACTTTTGAATTTCTGGAATGGTTTTGCCTTCGGAAAATAGATACCGTCATTTGTACGTGCCTGTAAATCCGCTCTGTAGGTTTACTGTTTGACATGTATGCGCAAGCATTGACCAGAATAATAACAAACATGCCGAATAATTTACAACCGACTTCCAATAGAACTTGGTGTAGTGGCTTTCTCGAATTTCGAGTCACATCGGGCAGGTACGAGACATCCTTCTGCCCGGTTTGATCAGGCCTTGATGTATCGATTACTAAGTATGCCCGCTACTTGTATATGTTTGGTGTTTTTGAGGCATGGCCCTCAACCCACGATGACTCGAGACACATACAGGCAGGTTTACCGTATGTATATAAAAACGAGTCTCAACCTGTGTTTCTGCACCTCAAAAAACTCGGCGTTCGCGGCGGCAAAACTCTGATTGGTCCTGTGACCACCCGTTTTTGGAATTAGCCTTGCAACAAGATCGGTGTTTTAATTCCTGTCGTCAACCACCACCGCGATGCATCGACTTGCTCCTGCTCTGCTTCGTTCTTCTTACACTCATATCTCGACTTGTCTTCCTCGTGGTCCTGTCGGTCTACATGTCCTACTACGTACCACTCGTGCCCGCGCATTTGCGACCCATGCTTCGCCCGTCACGCCTTTGTTGCGGTCTCTCAAACCTTCTCCTGCTGAGCTAGCGATGCGAAAGCTCGGTCCGCGAAACCTTCGTCTGGCTATGGAGGCTCTTCAAGAGGACGGCATAGTAGCTATCGAGGGTGTCATAGGGGAGCGGGAGTTAGACGCTGTAGGTTTCTCGCAGAACGATATGGAATGCTAAGATAATTGACTGTTTTTAATGTAGCTGAACTCACGAATGGTGCCAGACGCATACAAGCTGCGTGATATGAAAGATGGGCCTTATAACTATAATAGAGGTTTGTTTCGTCGATTAGCATACACTCAAGATAGCTATAAATATCCACGCAGGAAACGTGCAACAAGACCCCCCACCGGAGCCTGAGCTCTTCTTCAAAGACGTGTTTCTTAATCCTTTTGCGCTTCAAGTGAGCAACACTGCTCTAGGGCCGCGACCAAAGATGACTTTCTGCAGCGGAGTGAGTGTGGCAACATGCTCTTTGGGATGCTACTGATAACGTGGTATAGAATACCGCATTGAAGGCGACAGAGCGTCAGCCGGTACACACTGACGCTGACTTTGCTCAGCCTACGGTGAGTGTATCTAATTATGATTCAGAATAATATATCCAAGAGGAATTAGGTGCCATTTGCTCTTGTCGTCAATTGTGGGCTTGTGAGTATAGTGCTTTAGTATCTTTTGTTATCTAGCTAAAATGCACTCATTCAGGTTGATATGACGCCTGAAAATGGTTCGACTGGTATGATCCGTTCAATCCCGCCTGTTTTTTGCCGCTCATAGTCCAGTAGAAATCTGGCTTGGAACCCACAACATGGCGAACCTCGACGCTCAAGACGGACTACATGGTGACCGCGCCTCTGGACGCATCAAGCCCAAGCTGATGGAGGAGCGAAGGAAGGTTTCCCCTCCGTTTCAGCCAACAGTACCCAAAGGTGCGTATCGATATACAAGAAGTTGAATTTGTGTCAACGAAATTATTGGCGAGTAGGCTCGATTATACTCCGAGATTTAAGGCTATGGCACGCAGGAATGCCAAACAAAACCGAAGACCCAAGAGTTATGTTAGCCCAAATTCGTGAGTAACTAATAAACTCTTGATCAGTATGTGCTCTGAACGGATCTCAGACTTTGCACCATGGTATATGAACCAAAGTATGTAGCCTTGCGCTCCCCATGCAACTCAGCTAACACGTCGACTAGTGAAAATGGAGTTTCCGAAGGGAATGGAGCAAATGCTTCAGCATCCTAACCTAGAGATGCCAACCAATTTTGTTGATGCTCCAATCAATTATCTCGGAAGAGCGTTTGGAAACGCGTACGACTTCCGTCAAGTCGAGTCGGACAAGTGGGAAACCGACTGAGTAGGTTGAGAACTCATTACTTGCGCATATATGTGTCGATGTTATCTATGAACGGCAACGAAATCACTACTCCATGATATTCTTAGAGTGTTGAGATACTCACTCGTACGAGGCTGCTCAACGGACTCGATTCACAAGGGCATGTAGCGCAGTTGGTAGCGCGCTCGCTTAGCATCTTGATCTGATCTGCGAGAGGTCTTGGGTTCAAATCCCAACTTGTCCAATCATTTTGAACCGCTTCTGTTGCGGCATCTTTCGCAAATTTTTTGGTGGGAAGGGAAACGCTGAAGTTTAGCCGCAGTCGGTCGCTGTACCGCCCGGCGCTTGTCGCTGTGTGGCTATGCGAGCCAGTTCTGCACCTGAATTTCAGCTCGTATTATTATTGAAGCTGATTTTGTTCTACGACTTAAGTTCCGCTTCCGACAACACTAATATCAAACATCGTCAAAAATGAGAAAATTGTATATACTTCACGCTGTGGCACCCTGCGCCAGTTGCTTGGATTTGCCCGCTAGCTGTTGATGGATCGTCGATATTGAGATCGCCGCAACAGTACAGTGTAGTATATACGTCATTGTAGAATAAGAAAGAAAGAAACTCGATCGTAGGCTGTGGGATGAGCAATCACATACTCGGCGGCGGATCAGCCGCTTGGTTGGTGTGTAGTATTGTGGACATGCGTACTACTTTATCTGCTTGTCTCCAGCCCCCATCATCATAGTCGTGCGACCGCGTTCACGGCCTTACACAGCACGGTACGCATAAATAAAGGAAATATAAATGGCGAACTTGAATGCATGCTATCAATGCGCTGGTCCTCAATGCAAATATACAAGTTCAAAAACAAGAGCTGACAAATTGACACTGCCCTATATACCAGCGAGTCATTCAAACTCTTCACGCAACCACTCTTCACATCCTTCCCCTGGTTCAATGCGGCATAAGAATGGAAGAGGATGACTAGAGCCCTCGTACTTTAAACGTTGGTTACACATTTCCCGATTGTGAATGGACTAACCTAATAATATCGTTCGTGTAGCGTTCATCGGGTGTAATTTCCAGACCGTTCTCATCTTTGGCCTTCCCAATATTGAAGTTGGCGAGCGTATTGCTAGGGGTTTATGGGTAAGTAGTATAGCTGCAGGTAAAGGGTGATCGTATACCTAATAGATAACCACATTGATTGTTGCGCTACGTGAATACCAGGGCATACCCTGCGGACCTAGGTTTAGCTCAACCACAACAAGCCGAAACAGGTTCATTACCTGCGACCAAAGCCAAAGGCGTAAGCTTCTGGGTCTGGAGGAGGGTTTTCAACCAGATAGCGTTCCGGTTGGAATTGCTCCGGTTGGTGATACACATCTGGATTGTGTAGGATTTGCCTAGAGGTTCGAACGTAGTTACTTGATGAATCGGGCGGCTGCCAGAGGACACAGACGCACCAGGCATTGACAATTACCAACGTCTTCGCTGGAATACGATAGGTCTTGCCTCCGGAAACAACGTTCTCATCGTCCTCGCTGCCAGACTGATGTGGGATGACATTGGCAACGGGGTGCCACCGTAGGAGTTCGCGAACGAGCGCACTCGTATATGGTAGCTTCGATCGATCGTCGGGCACGAGGAACCTAGATGAAGAAGGGTTGTCGGCTAGTCGCTGCTTTAAGAATGTTGTTATCTCGGCTTGCGCTTTGGCCTGGACGTCGGGATAAAGCGCCATGGCGAGGAAAAACGATTGTACGATTGATACCGTAGTGTCAGATCCGGCGCCATATAACGATGCTGCAAGAGACTACTGAAGTGAGATATTTGGGGCGCATATAAGCATGATACCCGTGCTACTCACACTGATATACAACTTGGTTGTATCGTCAACTAGGGATCCGTCATCCGGCTGAAGGAGCTTGGACGTGAAAGAATCTTCCGCTATACCTTCAGCCTAAAAATATGCACGTTCCGTTAACATGAGTGAGCCGGAGTATGTGTGGATATTGAAGGACTTAATATTTGTTTTTCAACAAAGTCAAAAGGCTCGTTACGATAAGCACGACCAAGGCGCTGCCAGGCCCTTATCTGGCGCCGGAAGGGTGCAAGTGGAAACCAGGCAGGAATATATCTCACTACAAGGTTACAGTAAATGCAAGGGACCAAAAGATTTGATCGATGACTCACAAACTGGAAATACATCTACTAGCCATCTGCCAGGTCTCAAAGCTGTCAACTGAGTGAGAAAACGAACTTTTTGACTGGATTGTAGAGTCACACCATCAGAAAACGCTTGCATAATCTCTTCCGCATTTTGAACGAAGCGATCATTGGGAGATTTGACCTCGTGTCCGTACGCCATTCTGACCGCTATACTAGCCGACATGCTTGAGGTATACGTGAGCCAAGAAAACTTCAGCCTTGAGTCTCTATTTTCTCACAAATGAACGTTTTCCATAAAATCGGTAGGGTTGTCGGCCAGACGTCTCAGGAACTTTCGAACCTCATACTGCTGTATCGGAACGTAATCTGGGGCGACGCGATTGTTGAGGGCACGCTGAAGTAAAGTACGATAGTATTTGAGCTTTGGCCCGTAGCTCAAGAATATGACGATTTCTTTATCCCAGCCGAGTCTACAGGCCAGGCCTCAGTAACCACGGTTTTATGACGCCACCTACTCGTGCTTCTACTTTATGAACATACAGATTGATCATATACCTGAGAGGCCGGTCTGAGTAGTTGGCTGCTCGCTTTTCAAAGAGCTCAGTCACAATGGAAGGGTCGGATACAATAATGTAGTACGTTTGAATTATTCGTATGGTTATTATGGGACCTTGAAAAACTGAGTACGGACGCAAACACTAAGGACCAGTCTTACCGTATTGCTTCGAGTACTCAGCAAACTTGAGCCAAATGGCACTAGCATTTCGGACCTATGACACTGGATTATAGCATGAGTCAAGTTGATACGAGAATCTCTACTTACTGGAAGAGCATTACCAAGGATGATATTGCCTCTGGGGATGGGAGGAAGCGGTACTGGATGCTTCGAGTGATACCAAGAATAAAAGGCAACAGACATAAAACATCCAGCGATAGCTACCAGGGGGGCATGGCTAGTCATGACGGGCTATCTGGGCTCACAAGTTCGGCAGGAGGGGATTATATAGCCGGTTCAAGGAGTGGCGTGACATGTGCCAGACGCACCACAAGTACCACCGTAGGCATTTCCAGAAAGATCGACCTCTTGGAGTGTTGCAATAGTATCGTATATATCATATGCCATGGAGTGTGATATCAATGAAACCAAGCAAAGCTCCTGAAAACGCTGTTATAGTACAGAAGTCTCGAGGGTTGCTTCACGGCGCCAATCAGATTGGGTACATATGAGCAGATGGGTGTTCGATAAGGAAGCTCGAATCTTGAATTCGGTCAAATGACGCATGTGACGTAGAAATGTGTGTCTGCCAAACTCTAACCTGCCTCACTCAGTGTGGGTATTGAAATAGCCGTGAGCGGGACGCAGTGGCATAACGATCGTGTGAGCTGCTGATACTTTTTGTTGCTTGCGTTCGGGCGTCTAGTAATA